TTATGCAAATAATGTTAAATATTAAGAATTTTGATGATCAATGTCTATCCTTTTATTAACATGGACCATATTAGTTTCAAGCATATCATTTGTTGTTAGTTACCAACAAAAGGATCTTTATATGCTCAGTCTCGTGTGTGTGTGTGTGTCATATTCATGGATATTAGTCTTGATAGCTAACCATTTTAGATTTTAAATGGATGACGACATGGGAATGTTATGGTGCAATATAGCAAATACTTGGAGTTGAGCAAAAAATTTAATCGGAGATCGGCATATGTACCTCCAACATTGTTTTGAGTCTAGGAATCATGATGCAAAGTTTGTAAAGGATGGTACGGTAACTAAGATTCTAAGCTTATATTAAGAGTTCTAAAAATTTATAATTTTTAAATTTAAACTACAAATTAAATTGTTGTGACTGCAAGTAGATTGGATTGTCTACGACACTAGATGGTTGGCATTCTTGCGTACAAATGGAGTTGAGCTACAATAGGAAATTATTCGTGTACAAGTTGGCATAAATGCCATGTATATTTATTTATTTATTATTATTATTATTATTTTTACGTATAATTAAAATTTTTATTATACAATTATGTTATGATATAAAGAACAAATAATTTTGAAATACGTTACATTTAACTTGGGATGTATTCTATCCATATTAATGTATTCTAGTGAAGAACTTTCATTCTTGCTTTATGTTGGGAATTTAATGAATAATTACAATTTCACACACTTAAGTTTTAATTTGGGATGTATGTTTTCTATTAAGATTGATTTAATTTGTCTTCTTAAAATGTAATCAAATGTGATTTTTATTTGGGATGTGTGTTTTATCTATGAAGACTCTAAACCGTATTCAAGTTAAATAAGGGGTGATTCTTTCTACAATTTTGTTGGGATTTATTGTACGATATTTGATTGTCATATATTACATTTAATTTTGGGATGTATATATTTCCATGATGTTCTTGTGTTAACGTGAAATAAAAGATAATTCATTTTAGGTTATCGTTGGGATTATATTAACTATAATTTGACACATATTATATATATATATATATATATATATATATATTATGGGATACATATTTTCCATGATGAATAATTAAATGTGTTCAAAATAAAAAATCAAAGATGATTTTTTGAAGGAGAAATAAATGGTGATTTAGTTACAATTATTCATAGAATTTAGTGCACACCATTGGAAAGACAATAAAAAATTAACAAAGTTAGACTCAAGAATCACTTGATTCGGAGTCTAGATGAAGAAGATATGAAATCTCGAAATTTTACAAAAAAACTTAACAAAACTGTGAGAACATGATGTCAATACAACCATATTAGAACTAGTATTATGTGTGAAGTAGTGTGAATACAAGTACTCTGGTACTTATCAATTTATTGGAATATTCTCTATAACTTTAGAACGAAACGATACATAGATATTGGGATGATTTGTACATATGTATTTGCATAATCGTATAACTTAAAAGGTGTATTTGGATTGCATTACTTTGATCCTGTAAAAATTAGAAATACTTTAGACAACGCGTGAATTATGTATAAAGTAGTGTGGATGCAACTACTCTGGTACTTTCAAATTCATTTGGACGTTCTCTATAACTTTGGAACGAAACTTTATACAAATGTGTTAGGATGATTACGAATTTATTGGGATGATACGGCTAAACTTTAAACCATATATGTATTTGCATAAATGGATCACTTGAGAGTTGTATTTCGATTATTTTCCTTTGGCCTTGGAAATTGTCTTACAAATTTATTGGGATATTTTCTATAAACTATTACCGACATTAGTTATAAAAATATAAGGATAAATAGAATATATGTATTTGTATAAATGTATCACTTGAGAGTTGTATTTCGATTATTTTCCTTTGGGCCTTGGAAATTGTCTTACAAATTTATTGGGATGTTTTCTGTAAACTATTGACGACATTAGCTATAAAAATATGAGGATAAATAGAACATATGTATTTGCATAAATGAATCACTTGAGAGTTGTATTTCGATTATTTTCATTTGGGCCTTGCAAATTGTCTCACAAATTTATTGGGATGTTTTCTATAAACTATTAATGACATTAGCTATAAAATTATAAGGATAAATAGAACATACGTATTTGCATAAATGGATCACTTGAGAGTTGTATTTCGATTATTTTCCTTTGGCCTTGGAAATTGTCTTATAAATTTATTGGGATATTTTCTATAAACTATTACCGACATTAGTTATAAAAATATAAGGATAAATAGAATATATGTATTTGTATAAATGTATCACTTGAGAGTTGTATTTCGATTATTTTCCTTTGGGCCTTGGAAATTGTCTTACAAATTTATTGGGATGTTTTCTATAAACTATTGACGACATTAGCCATAAAAATATGAGGATAAATAGAACATATGTATTTGCATAAATGAATCACTTGAGAGTTGTATTTCGATTATTTTCATTTGGGCCTTGCAAATTGTCTCACAAATTTATTGGGATGTTTTCTATAAACTATTAATGACATTAGCTATAAAATTATAAGGATAAATAGAACATACGTATTTGCATAAATGGATCACTTGAGAGTTGTATTTGATTATTTTCCTTTGGCCTTGAAAATTGTCTTAGAAATTTATTGGGATGTTTTCTATAAACTATTAACGACATTAACTATAAAAATATAAGAATAAATAAAACATATGTATTTGCATAAATAAATCACTTGAGAGTTGTATTTCGATTATTTTCATTTGGACCTTGGAAATTGTCTTACAAATTTATTGGGATGTTTTCTATAAATAATTAGCTACATTAGTTATAAAAATATGAGGATAAATAGAACATATTTATTTGCATAAATGAATCACTTGAGAGTTGTATTTCGATTATTTTCATTTGAGCCTTGGAAATTGTCTGACAAATTTATTGGGATGTTTTCTATAAACAATTAATGACATTAGCTATAAAAATATAATGATAAATAGAACATATCTATTTGCATATAAATGGATCACTTGAGAGTTGTATTTTGATTTTTTTCATTTGGGCCTTGGAAATTATCTTACAAATTTATTGAGATGTTTTCTATAAACTATTAACGACATTAGCTATAAAAATATAAGGATAAATAGAACATATGTATTTGCATAAATAGATTACTTGAGAGTTATATTTGGATTATTTTCCTTTAAGCCTTCGAAATTGTCTTACAAATTTATTGGGATGTTTTTTATAAACTATTAATGATATTAACTATAAAAATATAAGGATAAATAGAATATATCTATTTGCATAAATGGATCACTTGAGAGTTGTATTTCGATTATTTTCATTTGAGCCTTGGAAATTATCTTACAAATTTATCGAAAGAAGATATCTAATTTCAATACATACATAATACACAAAATTATCAAAGTCGGTCAACCACTACATTTCTAGATATACCAAAATGTACATATCATATAAAACAACTTGCGTAAATTCCAAAAGGCTACAAGTACGCAGATGTAAATGAACAACATCATAAAATTAAAGTCAAATACATATTAGAATGACTATCAAGAATCAAAGAGTCGTTGTTGAATTGGTTAGCCTATCTCCGAAATTGGCAAGTGGGAGGTTGGCGTGCGACAATTGTTTACATCTGGTATCTTTGAATATGATGATGGGACAAAATGCAATCCAATTTACATCTGGAGTCGTTCTTAAATGCATGTTCCACCTTAATAGCACATTTGCCTGGTTAGTTAATGGAGTATTGAGTTCACCACCATCAATATTGCAGGTGGTGGTGGCGTCACATTTGAAAATTCTTATAGTTGCAACAATACTGACAGTAACGAACAGGTGGTAGGGGATTGTTCAACTTTGACTGCCACCTGCCTCTCCGGATACAAAGGCTTCAGTGAAATTCTGTAACATAATAATGAGATTTATTACGTGTGCATAATTTAATAGACAAATGGTATTACTTATGAAACTACATGAAAAACGGTAAAGGGAAAAAAGTACCTCAACTTGAACTGTTCCTTTAGTTGAGTTCATTTTATTATGAATCTTTAGCTCCATGGTTTGTTTGAACCTCTTACATTTTTATTTACAGGTATCATTACAATTGAGGCTATTGGGGATTTTGTCAGTGCATTTGTTGCTCCTCAATTTTGCCTTTACAACAACTATAAATTGCATTCATCTCAGCAAATTTACGACTACAGTTTTGTGACCCATTAAGATTATTAAACAAACACAATGTATCAAGAATCCAATACCCTCAATTACAAACCAAATTCAAACCAAAGCCAATCCATTTTCTATAACGTTAGGATAAAACTATAGAAAAAATTAAAATCAATGAATATATTTAATTTCGTACAATAATGTGACAGTTTAATTTTTTTATTTTACTTTTTTCAACTGAGACATGACCTTCAAATCTTTTTTGGGGCTAGTATTTTCTTAAATATTAAAACTATGTTATGTTAAAGTACTACTAATTATTACGACCACTCATAATTCTCAATTACCATTATAAACAATATCAAACAAAAACATATGGTCCATTCTGTATAACAAAGTACATTCTAACTCTTTTCTAGTATGTATCAGCAATTAAATTTGAACAATTTCTCATCCATTTATTAATTATCAACTATATACTGATACTTAAAAATATAAATTACTCTCCAACATTAATTAGGGTTCACATGTCATAAAAAAAGGATTAGAAATTATTCTTCGAAATATGAACCCAATTAATCATAAGAACAATAAATGCAATATTTGTTTCCAATAATAATTATGATTCGAAAATTTTACAATATGCAATATTAAATATGAACCCAATTAATCATAAGAACAATAATTATGCAATATTTGTTTCTAATATGGAAAAGGGCTGAAAATTTTTCTTTCAAAATACGACCCTAAATAATCAGTACAATGATAAATACAATGATAAATACAATATTTATTTCTAACATTAATTAAGTTACAAAATTAAAGAAAAAGGAACCAATGGAGAGGATTTTGGTCCCCGTGCTTCGTATATTAGAACAAGCCACGTCAAATTTCCGTCCCCGGTGATTTTCGTTTATTTTCGTTTCTAAAAACATGATGGACTGAAACGAAACTCTTTGTATAGATTAATAATAGTAATATAGATATAGTAGATCTATAACCCCTCCCTCTCCCGATCTCGCTCTTTCTCACATCAAACGGAACTGAAGTAGTATTCACCCAGTGTGCCGACTGAAACACAACAATTGTTAGTCGTTCAAACAAACCCTATTCACTGTCAGTGACAAACCAATCCGGAGTGGTAGAGATTGCAGAGCTTTTGTGAAGTAGAACGCAGCTTGCCGGAATGGTATTCCGTTGGCCAGCGAACCACCCAGATGTTGATTATGTCGCGCCAATATCAAGTGCGCTAGTTGTGGGTCGTTTGATCCGATGCAGTCGGAGGCTCGAGCAAGCTCGTCCACGAAATCGAACCCAGACTTCCCCTCAATTTGATGGTAAATTGGTAATCATCTCGAATATTTGAATTGATGCGAGTGAAATTGACGAACTAGTTCCGACCGAGACAGAATATTGAAATTCAGTGAAAAGGGAGTTGGAGAGTCAAGTCAGTGAATTGGGGAATAAATCCCACATCGTTCAATGGTGAATTCCAATCCAACCCAGAAGACCCAGTTGGTTTGCTGTGAATTTGGTGGTGGTGGTGAAGGTTGTGGGGTGGGAATGGTGGCGGGTGGTTGTGAGGGCGATGATGGTAGCGGTGATGCCACATATTGGTTGTGGGGCGGCGCTGCTGGTGGTATGTATATTTATATGTATATATATTGATTATCCAAGACTTGCAGTTGACTTGGAAAATGTAATGGAAGACTTGCAGGAGAGCCAAACACGCTCCAATAAAGTGGACCAGCACTAGAAAGACTTGACTTAAGACTCTCTCTCTCCCTCCCTCTTAAGTTAAATGGAAGTGTTCAAGAAAGTCATTTTATGAAATTTCCATGCTGATATAGAATTTTTTTTTTTTTTTTTTCAGTTCATGGTCTATAGAGTTGCTCATTGCTTGAGAGTTGAACTGATGGGGAGTATTTTAGTTCCTTACCTAATTTTCGCTATTATCAGTAGCATAACACCAGAATTTTCTTGTAATGGTGATGTCAATTTCACAAATTGTTTGGAATCAAACCGTGAAGCTCTCATTGAATTCAAAAATGGTCTGAAAGATGCCGAGAACAGGCTTTCATCATGGCGTGGAAGCAATTGTTGTCAGTGGCCGGGGATCAGGTGTGATAACAGAAGTGGAGCTGTCACTGTAATCGATCTTCACAACCCATTTCCATCATGTGGTTACTACTGGTTTTATCTATCATGTTCTGATCCTCCAACCAGGTATGGATTTTGGAACTTTACCGGAGAGATTAGACCTTGATTGCTTAAACTCGAGTCCTTGACATACTTAGACTTGAGTTACAATACATTTCAGGACATTCCAATTCCTGAATTCTTTGGTTCTTTGAAAAATTTGCGATATCTAAACCTGTCAAATGCAGGGTTTACTGGCATAATTCCTCCCAATTTGGGAAACCTTTCTAGGTTGAAATATCTTGATGTTTCTTCTGAACCCTACCTTGTAAGTGTTGATAATCTTCATTGGATGACTGGCCTTGTTTCACTAAAGCATCTTGAGATGAACGGAGTTGATCTATCTGTGGTGGGTTCAAGCTGGGTAGAGGTGCTAAATGTACTCCCCTTTTTAACTGAGTTACATCTTTCAGAATGCAGGCTTTCTGGTTCTATTTCATCTCTTAATTTCACTGCACTTGAAGTTGTAGATCTTAGTGGTAACAGCTTCAACTCCAAGTTCCCTGATTTGCTTGCAAATCTCACCAGTCTTGTACATGTCGACATGAGTAGTAGCGCCTTGCATGGAAGAATTCCGCTTGGTCTCAGTGAGCTGCCAAGCTTACGTTACTTAGACCTTGGAAGCAACTTCCTTAGTGCCAGCTGCTTCAAACTGTTCAGTGGAAGCTGGAGAAAAATAGAGGTTATCAATTTTGCTTCTACTATATTACATGGGAAACTTCCTTCCTCCATTGGGAACTTGACATTTCTCACTTACTTTGATCTGTCTTATAATTATGTAGAGGGTGGAATCCCCAGCTCCATTGGTAGACTTTGCAATTTGATATATATTGATTTAATGGATAATAACTTGACAGGAAGTTTACCTGAATTACTTGAAGGGAATAGAGACTGTGTTTCCAAGAGTCCTTTGCCTAGTCTTTTGTCCTTGTTTTTGAGCTCCAATCAACTAGTTGGTAAGTTGCCAGAATGGCTGAGTCAGCTTGAAAATCTTGTACATCTTGCACTGGACAATAACTTGCTTGGAGGTCCCATCCCTGCTGCTCTAGGGACACTGAAAAATTTAACCATTATCGATCTTGGAGGGAATGAATTTAATGGAACTCTGCCAAAGAGTTTTGGGCAGCTTTCTAATTTGTTTGTCTTGGCTGTTTCTTCCAACCATTTTACTGGAACTCTCCCCCACAGTTTTGGGCAGCTTTCTAATTTGTCGGTCTTGGATGTTTCTTCCAATCATTTGACTGGTACCATCTCTGAGGAGCATTTTGCAAAGCTAAGCAAGCTGGATGCCTTGTTCTTTTCCTCAAATTCCTTCATTTTGAATGTCAGTACCAATTGGGTTCCTCCATTCCAACTTAACACTCTTGAAATGGGTTCATGTCACTTGGGTCCTTCATTTCCAGCTTGGATTAAATCTCAAAAGAATCTCATGAACCTTGATTTGTCAAATGCCAGCATTTCAGGTACTATACCAACCTGGTTTTGGGATATCTCTTCTAATCTAGACCAGTTAAATGTTTCCCTCAATCAGTTAAGCGGTCAGCTTCCAAAGCCTTTAAATGTATCTCGCATTGGGCATCTCGATTTAAGCTCCAACTTCTTTGAAGGACCAATTCCTCTTCCTATTCACCAGATTGCGTTAGTGGATCTCTCCAACAATCAATTTTCTGGTCCAATCCCTCAGAATATATTTGAAGGCGCGACAAACTTGGCCCTTCTCTCTATTTCCAATAACCAACTAACAGGGAAAATACCTTCCATCGGAGGAGTAATGCCCACCCTTTACATCATTGATCTTTCTGGGAATAACTTAACAGAGAGTATTCCTTCAAGCATTGGGAACTGTATTCTCCTAAAGGCTTTAGACCTCAGAAACAACAGTTTGTCTGGGATGATTCCAAGTACTTTGGGTCAGTTGGAACTACTTCAATCATTGCATCTAAACGACAACATGTTTTCAGGAGAAATCCCCTCTTCTTTCATGAACTTGTCAAGTTTAGAGACTCTGGATCTTGGAAACAACAGGTTATCTGGTAATATCCCAACATGGTTAGGAGTTGGTTTTGCTAACCTTAGAATTCTTAAGTTGAGGTCAAATGCATTTTCTGGTGGAATTCCCGCTAATCTTTCACATTTAAGTTCTCTGCAAGTCCTTGACCTTGCTCAAAACAATTTTACTGGTAGCATTCCAATCAGCCTTGGTGACCTGAAAGCTATGGCACAAGCGCACAAAGAAAATTTACATCTGTTATATGGGCTGTTCAGTGACCGGTACTACGAAGAAAGCTTGGTTGTGAATATAAAAGGGGGGACTCTAACATACACCAAGACTCTGTCCCTGGTGACCTCCATAGACCTGTCTGGAAATCATTTAAGTGGGGAGTTTCCTGTGGATATAACAAAATTGTCGGGTCTTGTGGCCTTGAACTTGTCAAGTAACGAAATCAGTGGCCAAATTCCTGAAAACATTTCAAGTTTGCGTCAATTATCATCTCTTGATCTGTCAAGTAATAAGCTCTCGGGTGCAATTCCTCCAAGCATGCCGTCACTAACATTTTTGGGTTATCTGAATCTATCGGATAATAACTTCTCAGGTAGGATACCATATACGGGGCAGATGACGACTTTTAGTGAGTCTGCTTATGCTGCAAATCCTAGTCTCTGTGGACCTCCCCTTGTTGCTAAATGCCGAGGTAAGGATTCAGATAAATCAAAGACTGTTGAGAATGACGATGGCAATAGTTTCATTGACAAATGGTTTTACAGTGTTGGCTTGGGATTTGCTGTTGGACTTCTGGCTCCTTACTTGATCATAGCAACAAGAAAATCTTGGAGCCATGCATACTTTAGTTTCGTGGACAAAATCGTATACCGATTACCATGCGTGAGAAACAGAAGAGCAATTTGCAAATGGTAGCAATTCACAAATGGTAGGCTTCTTTTCAGTTCTGTAATTACTTGTATCATAAAAGCTTAGGATGGAAATGAATTTCATTGCGATGTAGAAATTTCATTAATCTGCAAAGTACAAGGGCTTTTGTTTTAAGAAAACTATACTGCATTTGTGTTGTTATCTTAAATTTGCTGTTAGGATCATTTCAAATTTTACTTGTGCCACAGAAAAATAGTATCTCCTTTAATTGAAAGAAAAAAAACTATTTTATTAAACAAATAAGTTTTCAAAAGTTGTTAAAGATGATTTGATTTCAAGTGATTTTTTCCCGTAGAAAGGATGTAACCTTTCACCGTTCCCAAACATGTTCCGACACTTTAAACCTTTAATGACACGCTCTTATAACATGTTGAAGCACCACATTTTTTGATAGCTTAGACTATCAGAAAGGTTTGTACTGCTACTGTACATATTATAGGAAGTCTTATTCTTTCACTCAACGATAGGAAACAACTCCTTTAAATCCTTAATTTAGATTAGATGATCTTACTGCATTGCTCTTAGTTCTTAATTACTATTTTTTAACTAGATAAATATGTGATTTGACTGCTTGTTTTTCTTCAATATTTGATGATTTTGAGGGTAAGACTTTTTTTGTGTATGAATATTGATTGCTGGCATAATTAAGATTTGATGATGATGAATGCAAATTTGACGATTTCTTTCAAAATCATGTGAAACACAAGGTGAAAATGCACGGCGTGGAATGGCTGAGATCAAGATCTCTGGATATGTGGCTCCTGTGCCTGTACCTGTACCTGTACCTGAATCTGGATGGATTGTTGCTGTAAGTTCATGGTTGCCCTGGCAAAGGCTCCTTACTGATTTTTCATTATAATTTATATGTATAATACTATATAGTAGGATTTGGTTTCGAGTTAGTTAAATTCAGGTTTTGTGTGGATGTGAGTCGTGCAGTGTGTGATTTTTATATATGTAGAGGAAATGTATTTCCACCAAACAAAAGTATTAACATACTCTCATTCTAGTGTACTTGGTTGTGATGGATTTGGGAGATGAAATGAATTTAAGGTTAAATTTGTGTTTCATGGTACTGCTTTCTATGTTACTTAAATAGAGTTCATATTTACATGAAAATTATCAGGCATTTGGACATGAAACATGAACGGAATCACAGTGATGAAAGGGAAATAGCACACCGTTGGATTCACCCAAATAATGACAGAAGAAAAGAATATTTGATAATGTCGTGCTTCCATTTTCATGTCTTTGCTGCAGCATTTAGAATGTTCATTAGGAAACTAATTTTTTCTTGTGATCGACTTGTTAGCTCATCACAGCTTTTGTGCAAACCAAGAATAAAGACCCGACAAACTGAAATGAATATATCTTGATTAGAAAATCTCCTAAATTCTATTATTTCACTTATTGGTAAATCCGGAATTTTGTAATTCGATCCATATTATGAAAATTCAGTTTATCAAGATATTTTTTACAATCTACGGAATTAATTTCAATTCAGAAATATCAATAAATTATGTTTTATGTCAAAAAATAACATTAGCACTAACAATAAGTCCAGAACTATCAATACATTATGAAAGTGGCATTAAACTAAAAGTTACATTGCACAATCAAACCCATGTGCACAATCAAAGCCTCCCCGTGCTATCCAAGTGAGAAATTATTAAATAGTCGTGGCAAGAAGTTAAAATGACACAATTTTATATCAAAATTCTCATCTGAGACCTAAAATGACTTGCCTGATAAAAAATATTCTGTTATAAATTTCATTCCTCATCTGCAAATGACTTTTTTTTTTTTGGAATGATTGTATTAATCAAAATCTAACTTTAATTCGAATCATAATCTTCAATTTAAAATTATTACTTGTTGCAACTTGCAAACTAAATGAGATAGAAAAACTTTTAAACTGGGGACACTCAATTTTCGACCTCAAAATCACCTGAGGGAGAGGTGCTTGTATGGTACACACACACGTGAGCCACAGCAGCATTATATGATTAAAATTATAAAAAAATAAAAAAATATTATGATCTAAAAAAAATATAAAACATAAAATTATATCTTCAATATAGAGAAAAGAATGTGGATAGGGAAGAGAGATCTTATTATTTATTCTTAAATCAAAAGTACATCAATATAAGAATGAACAATTTATATTTATAGCCGAACTTTGCATTAGTCAACATTCTTAATACATCATTAACCAAGTGCATTTAACTCTTATTTATTGCACTATTAATCAAATACATTTATCACTTATTTAGTGCACATTGAATTCAACACTATACAATTGGTGGACACCATATATATATAACACTTCCTCTTGGGGTCCACTATACAACATTAAGAATATGCCTCGTTAAAACCTTATTAAGAAAAACCCAATGGAATAAAAACTTAGCGAAGGGAAAAAGAGTACAATATTCTTGTGTATATGAAAATGGTATTGTATAGGTTAAAACTGCCTAATTAAAACCTTGTCAGGAAAACCCAGTGGGACAAAACCTGAACGAAGGAAAAAGAGTATAGTATGCCAATATCTTTGAATTTAGTGCTCCCCCTTATTGCTGCATTAGTTCAACACTAAAGATCTTTGAGTTGATGCATTCCAATATTGTGTACCAACCTTTTGAATGTCGTAGTTGGTAGTGCTTTAGTGAACATGTCTGCTAAATTTTCATTTGAACGTATCTACTGAATATCAATATCACCATTCTTCTGATGTTCATATGCATAAAAGAATTTTGGTGAGATGTGCTTGGTCATGTCACTTTTGATATAACCCTCTTTCATTTGTGCAATGCATGCAACATTATTTTCATATAATACTGTTGGGCTATCTTTTATTAATGAGAGACCACATGTTGTTCGAATATGCTGGATCATAGATCTCAACCAAATGCATTCTCTACTTGCCTTATGAATTGCGAATATCTCTGAATGATTTGAAAAAGTTGCAATCATTGTCTGTTTTATAGATCACCATGATATAGCAGTGCCACCACAGGTAAACACATATCCTGTTTGTGAATGAGCTTTGTGTGGATTAGAGAAATAGCTAACTTCTGCATATCCAATTAACTGGGAGTTTGATTCTTTTGAATAAAACAATCCTATATCAATTGTACTACGAAGATATCGTAATATATGCTTGATTTCATTCCAATGTCTGCAGGTTGGTGCAGAACTGTATTTTGCTAATAAATTGACTGAAAATGCTATATCCAGCCGTGTGCAATTTGCAAGATACATAAGAGCACCAATTGCATTGAGATATGGTACTTCAGGACCAAGGAATGCTTCATCATCCTTTCGAGAACGAAAATGATCTCTCTTGATGTCAAGTGATCGGACAACCATTGGGGAGCTTAATGGGTGCGCTTTATCCATATAGAATCGCTTTAAAATCTTTTTCTGTATATGTTGACTGATGGACGAGGATTCTACTTGATAAATGTTCAATCTGCAGGCCAAGACAAAATTTTGTTTTTCCGAGATCTTTCATATCAAATTCTTTCTTTAAATAAGTGGTTGTCTTTTCGATTTCATCCAATGTTCCCACAATATTCAGATCATCAACATATACTGCAATAATAGCAAAACCATATATTGACTTGTTAATAAAAATGCATGGACAAATATGATTATGCATATACCCTTCTTTTATCAAGTACTCGCTAAGACCATTGTACCACATCCACCCAGATTGTTTCAATCTATATAAGGATCGTTGTAATTTGATCGAGTACATACTATATAGTTTTCTTTCAGGCATTTGAAATCCTTCTGGGATTTTCATATAAATATCACTTTCCAGTGATCTATATAAATATGCCGTTACCACGTCCATTAGATGCATATGCAATCTTTCTGTGACTGCCAAATATATTATGAATCGAAATGTAGTTGTATCTATCACTGGAGAGTATGTTTCATTATAATCAATACCAGGTCTCTGTGAGAAACATTGAGCTACCAGTCGGGCTTTATATCTCATAATTTCATTTTTCTTGTTATGTTTTCACACAAATACCCATTTGTACCCAACAGGCTCTACACCCTAAGGTGTTTGGACTACAGGTCCAAATACTTCACGTTTAGTTAATGAATTTAGCTCTGCCTGTATTGCTTCTTTCCATTTTGGCCAATCATTTCTTCGTCGACATTCGTCAACATTTTGAGGTTCCGGATCCTCATTATCAATATCTAGAGCAACAGTATATGAGAATATGTTGTCGACAACAATTTCATTTCTATTTCATCTTATTCCATAATTTATTAAGATCTCATCACTTTCAAGTATCATTGCCTTATCAAGGGCATGTGCCTTATCAATGGCCACATCATCATTAGCTGCCTTTGCCACATCAAGGCTTATTGTTTCATCATCTTTCGGTACCTGGACTTTATTAAGAGCCGATTTCTTATAAATAATTTTTGTTGCTCTCTTTGTGGCCTCTTCAGGAATGCCAATTTGCATATTGAATTTCCTTTTACGAGGAACAATATCTTTTGCACTGACTGGTCTACAACGCTTCTAGCATGGTTTATATGCATTTGATGCACTACTAACAATGGTCCTTCAGGGACAATAATTTCTTCAGGAATATTTACAGCTGGTATATATGATTTCATCACTTTCTTTGTGTCAGTAAATACACCAGGTAATTGGTTTTTGCAAATGAATAATCCTTTGAACTTCTTGTTTTTCTTTTCTCCCCCTAATGATAGGAAAACAGTCTTATTAAAATGATAATCAGCAAACTATGCCTTAAACACATCACCTGTCATAGGTTCAGGATACCTAATAATAGATGGAGAATTAAACCCAACACAAATTCCAAGTTGATGTTGAGGACCCATTTTAGTGCATTATGGTGGTGCAATTGGAACATATATAGCACAACCAAAAACTTGTATGTAAGAGATATTTAGTTGTTGATTAATAACAAGTTACAAGGGGGAGAATTTATGGTAAGCAGTAGGTCATATTTGAACTAATGATGTAGTGTAACGACCCGAACCTTTGGGTCTGAACCGTTAACCGGGTCCTTACTAGAACCCGAGGTTAACTAAGGGCATAATCGTCATTTCCTATGCTTATAAGTAGTACACGATCCATTAAAAGGTCCAAAGTATACTTCAAATTATAGCTCAAGAGGAAAAGTCAAGGTGCGGGTCAATGGAAAGGTCAGCCGGGTCAATAGAAAGGCCAGCCGGTTGATGGCCCTTCGTCAGCTGGCTGAAAATGCATGATCGGTCGGCTGACTGAGATAGTCAGTTGGCTGAAACGATCTTAAATTTTACAAACTCTCGGGACTTTGCTAAAGAGGGTTCATCGGCCGGTTGAAAGTGAGGTTCGGCCAGCTAAAAGAGAGGTTCAGCCGGCTGATCTGTAGGGTTAGCCGGCTAAAAAGATTTCCCAAAAATGAATGCTCTCTGGACTTCAGAAAAAGGCCTGTCGGCCGACCGAAGATCCAACGTCAGCCGACTGACCAGGGGGTTCGGTTGGCTGACAGAGCTTATCAGCCGGCCGAAACAACATTCTCACTGACTCGACCTACTGGAATGCCAAAAATTTGCACTGTCAGCCAGCTGACAGGCCCTGAAATGTTGCTATCTGTAGCTAAAACATTAGATGAGCTAAGTCCATTGTGAGCCGGCCTGTACCAGACCTGATACGTAAACAAATCCCGAATTCACGGCAAACGCTATACAACAATAATGTATAACATTCTATAATTATAGATGTCAAAGATTACACAAAACATATATATACTTCCCATTCATTACAATATGCCGACATAGTTCAAAATTTACATCAATATACCTTCTAGTATTACATTTACAATACTTGGCCGTGCTATACATAACGGATACATTCTTGAAATGCGACTCCACAAAAGAATAGGCACAAGTGTACAAAAGGTAGCAAAAGAACTTCAATAACTTCAAACTAGGTTTGTGGGGGAACGTCTTCTGCCACTTCTTTCCCGTGCCTTGAAAAATTTTAATAATAAAGGGATGAGCACAATGGCTTAGTAGGAGGT